TTACTGAGAACGTACTCAAGGCAACATTTGAGAAATTACCTTTCGAAAAAATGTTCGGTACAAACCTGGCTGGATATTGTTTAAACTTTACGGTACTGTGTGAAGAAAACAACTATTTTATTGCATAGACTAAGGAGCTATCCAGCATTATCGATAATTTTCATGAAATGAAAGAAGGATCCTCCTCCACCCACCCCCCACCCCCCTGTATTGATGTCTGTAATATCAATATTTTCGAAACGAAACTTCCCTTGACCCACCCACAAACGAAACTTTTTCTCTCCGTGTAAAAGATCGACAATTATGGACCCGGCATTATTGATAATTTTCACGAAATGAACAGTTTAGTTATGAGTAACTTGTGACCGTCCCCCACCCCCACCCCTCAACGAAAAATAGCTGGAATGGACTAGTGTTTCAGCTATCAATATTTTTCATTACGAAACCCTTCTTGACCCACCCGCCCATGAACGATTTTTTCTCGTTTCGTGTTAAAGATAGATAATTATGGACGGCCCCTAACGTGCCAGGTTCAAATGAATGGATCGTAGAAGATTGTTTGTGATATCACACGATCAGAACAGGTGACAACCAACACTACATGGCTGTATACTTGATGTGCTGCATTTGCTGCGTGCAGCGCAGGGAGTTGTAGCATCTAGGTAGACGGCACAGGCGACTGTAAAGCTAAATGACATGGGGTTCGACCCAGGGGTTCCTGTTTCAGCCACCCTGGGGGCACCATTGGGCAGATCTGTACACGCTCGTACATGGCATTGCTAATCTGGGCCGTTCTCAGGGTCAGTAGGTCAAGGCCGTGATCGCGGGTTGCACAAATCACGGAGAACCTCCAAATCCAGACCCAAAATTCTATAAAGTATTGTGTAGTCTCCCTACAGTGTAGGTGCTATGACTCCCTGGTGCGATGTACCTGCTGGCAAATAGACAAATTGCAACCAGGCCATAATTCGGATAGAGCAGACGATCCTGTCCTGGACCCTGTTCCACATTCAAAAGTGTATCTAGACTCATATAGTGAGGGAGGAATATTGTGGTACTGACTCCGATTTTCATGCGCTAAGAAATTATCAAGTATACCGTAAAAGCCCGTGTATAGGCCCCGGGCGTATAGAATAGCAGCCTCGATTTCCTGGGCGTATACAAGAGCACGGGCGTTATTTTGGAACCGGGTGTATACTGGGAATAGGGATAGCAGCAAAGTATTGGGTATCAGTACCTGTACATGTACTGGTGTTTCTGGCATACCTGGGCGTATACATGGGCATGGGCGCTATTTTGAAACAAACGTGTTGACTTTCCCTGACTGGGCGTGTACACGGAGGGTGGGCGTAATTTCGAGTGGGCGTATACAGGGGCTTTTACGGTATGTAACTGTAAGTGATAATCACTCAAAGTACGAAGCTAACAGTAATATTCACTGGTTTGAGGGAAAGACACAAACGGGAAAGGTCTGAAGAAAAAATTGACTGTCACCACCAGGATTCGAACCAGGGACCTTCGCTTGAGGCCAGCGATGCTCTAATCACTGAGCTAACGTGTAGCCGTCATCCCAGCCGAGATCGTTCAAGATTTTCAGTTCAGACTTCGTAATGCACACTAACAGTATCAGCTAATGGTATATGTTATGTACTCTTTTTTGATTGTATATGCAAGCTCTACCTTGTGATGTTGAGCACTCTTCGTTTGGTGGGGGCACTCCGATCGTCTAATGTGAACCACAGTCCACCTACAGTTCTACATTTGCAACGTTGTCCAATGTGCATCGAAACGCATTGTGCATAACTGTTACAGCAGAGTGCAGATTATCCGCACTCCTCGGGCGCACGCTTTCTCCAGGGGGTTCGGATGGGGAAAAATTCGGATAAGGGAGCAATCACACATCCATCTAAGACTTGCACATTCCTTCACGTTTCCATCATTTCTTCACAGGAATTAGACACACTCTAGCTCCTCAATATGACTCTACGGTGATACATTGTTGCTCCAACCTGTTGCAAACCATCTTGTGCACCGCTTGAATGGTGCTTGGGGTTGTCCCTTCAATTCAATGGAAACTGGCATTTCGGATAAGTGATTGTTCGGATTATCCGCACTCTACTGTATTCATATTCACGCTTTCGGTACAGTCTGGAACAGGAGATCCTAGTTCGACTCAGACTGCCCTTTCCATAATACGTTTCCCATGTACTCGCAGTTCTTTTATCGGAACATCTTTTCTTCCCAACCTCAAATCCTGTGCAACACCGGTTGGCTTTCCTCAGTTTCCTGAGTGGTGTTACCTCTCGATAGAAGCATGAGTGGCCATTCAATGTCATATTATAGTAAAAAATGTCCATAACTATCGGAGAAAGGATCGGATGTGGCTAACTAATTTGAAACTGTCCACCTCTCCTCACTGCGCTCTAGGCCCACATTTACCACACCATACCGAGGAAGTTCGTTCTTGGATAGATGCTCTACATCCTCCAGACATCTATCCAAGAACAAACTTCCTCGCTATGGTGTGGTGAATGTGAACCAAGAGTGCAGTGTGGAGGGGTGGACACTGTTGCAAATAATTTTACTACAATGTGCTAAGCAGAACAGAGGCACTAGCACCTGGGTGGAAACTATTCTGAATTTTGAATGCCAGGGAAGGCTGAAGGATACACATGAAACCACTGCCAAAGCAAACACAAATTTGAAAAGCAGTGCATGCATGCGCATGGTGGCGGTGGGAAAAAGGAGCCAAGGAAAGTGTGTACAATATTTTTGTTGACTGGATGAGAATTCACAGAAAGCTGGCTGATTCCTCTATTTCCATGATCGGCCAGTGCCTGCAGCACGAACAGTGCATTGTATTACATGTATGTGCATAGACAGACAAATAAACACTAACCTGAGCATGGGTACCGCTTGTATTCGTGGTCAGGAAAGTGAAAGTACGAACGAAGGCGAAGAAGATTGTTGACCATGGCGAACAACTGCATATCCAGAGGGCACACGGCTTGCCAGAATGGGTCGGCTACATCTTCGCTAATTTTCTATCCTAACAACATTCAGCTTCGAGGTCAAGGACGACGGCATTTTTTGGAAGGAAATTTCGAATTTTGGAGAAGCTTGCTTTCCGAAAAATGTTCCTTTCACGCAAGGCAGCATGCCAGGTCGAGGTCAGGCGTGTGAACCAGGTGAACTGTGTCGGCAGATCGACGTTTACGTTCCAGGCCGACAGTTTTTTGGCCAAGCCGTGAATCGCCCTCGCTCTGACTCGCCCGGCTACGAAGGAGTAATTTTACAACTCTTCAGGCCAGCTACAGGCCTCTGATGCAGAGCTGCAAGTGACGGATATCGGTCATTTGCAGCCACTATTTTCAGCCTCCTGGTCGTTGCAATCTGATACATAATATACCTCGGTGCTGGCCATGCAGCCGTGGATAAGCGGTGCACACATGCATTATTTTTATGCGCTGCAGCGCGCTAGTCGCAAAGCCAAAGCCAGGCAAAGGATCAACATGTGCCCTGCACGCAGCGTTCCGTAGACCCGGGTGCTCGAATGAGAGACAGGGTACCAAAACAGAAACAGCCTGTACCTAAACTTGTTCCGATTTCGTTTAGTTTTCACAAATAAATACTAGTACAGTCGTCCCTCTCTAATCCGGCACTTTATAATCCAGCACCCTCGATAAACCAGCACAATTTTCAGTAGCCAAAATGTCCTCTTCATGCACATTGCAGCAGTAAATCAGATTTGTTAATCCAGCACCCTCCCTAATCCAGCAGATTTTCGTGGCACAAATGGTACCATCAACATACGGCCTGCTAACAGTATGCCAAATTTCAGCGCTGCCCGGTAAACGGTTTAGCTTTTGAAATACTCGCGACCCACTTTTTGCTGGGTCCTTGATTCGAGGATGTGGGTCTCCTGTACGGTGCTGCCAAAGACCTGCTGAATCTGCGGCTCCACTGACCATCTTGCTCTCAAAAACGAAGTAGTAAGTTACTACTCCCTGCCCTCAACTGCCAAACCAAGCGTAGACGATGGTAGACCCGTGTGCTTGAATCGGAGACGATCTGACGAGTTTGCTGTTTCTGATTCGAGCACCCAATTTTCAAATAAAAAATCCGATGAAAATACGACCATTTCACTGCGTACTGTTATGTAGCTTGTATTGTAGCGCACCCAGGTTCTGAATTCCTGCTTGTCAAATCGTTTCTGATTCGAGCACCCGGGTCTACGCGCTGAGGGCGCCGGCCCCGGTCAATCGACCGGATTTCCATGTCCACGAGTAGTAGTTTTGTACTCTACTAGTACTAGTAGTAGTAGTCTCTACAACTGACTGTCTGTGTAGCCTTGCCAGAGGAGAAGTACAAGTGCCAGATCTACACTGTACAGTGCTACAGTGCTGGCAACTGAAATCCGACCCCTACCGTCCCGTACGTACGAATCACTAACGCGGCTAGCGCACCGCTAGGGTGGTCGGATTTCAGTTGCCAGCACTGTACTAGTAGTACTACTACTGTAGTACTAAGTAGTATAATATCGCAGCACTGCTAGTGCCTTGGTGCGGTGGCAGTGGGAGATGATGGGTAGAAATACTAGTAGGGCCAAACTAAAGAAGGTGTGTGGTTCGACTCACCCGACCGACCGTACAATTTCAGCCCGACCGTAACTTTTTTTCGGCGGGCTGTCGTGTGACTGACGTACGTGGACTGAACACGTCCACGTCTACGTGCTGTGCGGCGTGAGTCTGCGGACGCAGGCGGCTCCTTTTGGACTTGACTTGTAGTTGTACTGCAGTGCAGTGCAGTGAGTGGTACGACTGCTGCCTTGTGCTGGTAGTAGAGTCTACTCGATACGCGTATACAGTGTATTTACATGTACTAAAAAATATATATTAAAAAAAAAAATCCGCCCGCCCGCCCGTAAAAAAAATGTCCATGTTAGTCGAACCACACACCTTCTTTAGTTTGGCCTAGAATGATTATGTTTTACTCTCTCTCAATATCTCAGCCAGCAGTTACATAATAAAGTCGAAGCGTCGCTACAATTCGAATTGTAGTGTCACAGATAGTCTTGTTGCAAAGCTTCTACTACCACTAGTATAGTAGGGTGAAGTAGTGTTGTTCATGTTGAAAAGCTCCTACCAGTTCGTACGTGTCGTATTGTGCCCTTGACGGTGTCCTGTCAAGCCGAGAACTTTTCCAGCAGTTGAAATACAGTTGTGCTGCTTGTTTGTGAGAAATATTTCAAGATGCAGAGCAGCGCGGAGCAGGCCCAGCAGTCGCCAGCTATGTGCGTAGCCGAATGCGGGTTCTACGGCAGCCCAGCGTTCGAAGGTCACTGCTCAAAGTGCTTCAAAGCGAAGAATTCAACAAATAGAGGCGGCCAGGATGCGTCCAGTGCCGGCCTCGGTCCCACTGACAATCCGCGAGGTACGTGCTTGGCCTGAATTCGCCATACTAAAAAGTAATACTGAGTTGTCACAGTCTGCACAAGTGAGCAGTAACAACCAGCTTAGCGCTCCCTGCTCTGTAGCCTGGACACTGTACTAATTAACAGTCTGTTCACAAAACAAAACGTGGATACTGTTCTTCACTGGTTCAGAGAGGTCGTGGTCTTGATATTTAAATTATTATTATAGGGACACTCCAGTACTCTTTACTCATGGACCTTATCACTACAAGTTGAGGAAGAAAAGTGCACAAGGAACAAAGAGAAAAGCAATGGAAGAGAATAGCACACTCTACCGCATGCCGTATTTTCCGGTGTGTTGTGTAACTTGTGTTTTAGCCGCACCAGGTCTAAGCCCCCCCCCCCCTTTTGGGCCCAACATTTGTATTTTTGTTGACATTCGGAGTACAAGGCCCATGCCAGACTTTAATAATGACACTAGTTACAGTTCGCATGTCACTCGTGGAAGGATCCGTGGGCTTTTAGCGCATCTGTCAATGAAATCCAGGCAGAAGAGCCAACAAAAGGCATCTCAATATCATTCAAACTTATAGCACTAAAGTACAACAGTACTACGCAAGAGCAGCACATTTCCCCACAAGTATCAGCCTTTTTTCGTTTTTTGTCTAGAGCCAGCTCAAAGCAGTAAGAAATATCAATATTGGCATAGCTATAAATAAAATGATACCGAGTACCCGTGCATGCTCATGTCACAAAACGAAGTATCAGTAGTATAGTTCCAGAGCGTTTTCTTGTCACGTTTACCAATGGAAACTCGTGACAGACAGAAAGTAGATAGCCAGTAGTAGGATGTATACACTTGAGTTGACGGCTACAGTGTGCAAAAATACCTTCAACTCTAGTGTATACATCCTATTGCTGGCTATCTATTTTCTGTCTGTCACGAGTTTCCATTGATAAACGTGACAAGAAAATGCTCCAGAGCTATACTTTCTGCTACTAGTACTTTGTTTTGTGACATGAGCATGGGTATCATTGTATTTATAGCTATATTTCATTTGTTATCTCCACATCGCCTTTTCAAATATTGGCATGCTTTATATTATTTTTAATATTTTCAGTCCATCTGAGATGGGGTCGGCCACTGTGACGTGGGTGCTTGATGTCCCGGATATTAATTGCCATATCCAGTGTTTGGTAACACACTGAGTTAGGTCTTCCACAAACAACATGACCCAGCCAGGGAAATCGACATCTGTGTCAGATACTACAGGGCCGGTGCCACTGGTACGGCTGGTGCGGCCATAACCGTACCAGTTTTCACCAATTCCAGCATTCATGACTGCTCAGTGTGCAATTGATTATCCGGAAGTACTAGTAATAAGCTATCCTCATACACGCCTTCCTAGAGTCTCTACCTCCTCACCTGTTCTTCTTGTCCAGTGAAGTCTACTCCGCTAGCTGCCACATCTGTTGCTAGAGGAATGTGCAGCTGAAACAAACAGATTATTATGCATAGAGGTAGAGATGTATCCTCCCAGGATTTTGAAATAACTGGGCATGTGGAAATAGTCGGTCCTGTAGCCGACCTGGGGCCGTACCTGTAGGAAATGCTCATTTCGCTAGAAAGTTCAAGAATCTATTTATTCATTTATTTCTTATTTGTCTGAAGTCACTAACTAACTTACATTAAAATTACAGTCTTCTCAGATATTTATTTACCGGTTTTCATTTCGTTTGGCTATTGCAGACGCTCGTTTGTAGGGTGCGTCTCATACTACGTAACTGTTTCTGCGTACCGGTAACTTCTTCAGCGGACACAGATACGTGTAACGTGTGCACGTATAACTTGTTCTACATACGCGCGCACCCCTTTGTGTGCGCATGCTGTTCCTTTTTTGCTATGCTCTTGTAAAATGAAATCATTCTTGTTTTCGAGTTATCTGTCGTCCATTGCTTGGACTTCTTTGGAGCGAATAATTATTGAAAGGAAGAGTCAAGATGTATTCTCTTGTTGGAATAATGAGCATGAGCCTGATGTCAGTGATGAGGATATAAATTTAGTTAATCCTCCAGTTCCCACGGAATTCGTATGTTGAGAATTTCGTACATGGTCCTTCGAGCTTCAACACGAGCCCGAGAAATTTGATTTGTGATTATGGCCGAGACGGAGTCTGAGGATCAGCCAAAGACGACAACAGTGTCGGTCCAACGGTTAGTTCGATTGCGTGGAGCACATCGGTCAGCTGCCTCCAAATTGGTATCTAGAATCGATGATTTTGTGGAGAAGATTTCCTATGTTACGAGGAGCTCACCCGAGTGGCAAGGGGAAGATCTCAGCGTAAATGATAGAGAGGATTGTGCCTTGGACCTGAAGAAACTCCGGGAGAAAGTGGATTTGCTAGGGCGCTTGGACTCCCAAATTTTGGACGCCGTCGAGGACGACGACATTGAATCTGAAATTTGTGATGCAGCGGATTATCTTATGAAGTACGAGTCCCGCATCGGCAGGGCTACGCGAGCCATTTCAGATGCAAGTCAATTGTTGGAGAATATCGCCAGTGTACGGGCTTCCCAATCCTCACAGCCAAAGTCAGAGTCACTGTCACCCGTTTCCGGAAAGGATGAGTGCTGCACAACAAGCAAGGCCAAGGGCAATCTGGACAGTCGGGAACCAGCTCCAGATGAGACTGGTGAGGACTCGCCAGTTGTCGCCCCGTGTGACTCGCGTTCCAGTGTAGTATCTAGTACGAGTGCCAGTAGTGGAAGCAGCTTCCACCACCGGATGAAGCTGCCCAAGCTCGAGATTCCTAAGTTCAGTGGTGACATCCGAGCTTGGTCCTCGTTTTGGGACATGTTTGGGCCGGCCATTGATGGCAATGACACCCTGGATGACGTTGATAAGTTCAACTACCTAAATTCCTTGGTAGTGGGAGAGGCACGAGAGGCAATTGCCGGATTTGCCCTGACAGGAGCCAACTACAGGGCTGCAGTTGACGTCCTCAAGCAACGATTCGGCAACGTCCAGGTCATTGTCGCCAGCCACATGGAGGGCCTCTTGAATGTTGCTTCTGTCACCAGCGAGGATGATGTAACTGGCCTCAGGAAGCTATACACCACCGTTGAGACACACATTCGTAGTTTACAGTCCCTCGGGATGAGTCGCGAGGCTTATGGATCCCTGTTGACGTCTGTTTTGATGTCCCGATTACCCGCAGAGTTCCGGCTCATTGTCAGCCGCAAGATTGCCGGGACTGAGCAGCATTGGGAGATCGGTGAGCTGCTATCGGCTGTCCATCTGGAGCTGTGTGCCAGGGAGCGAGCGGCACCGGCAGCTAAGCCAACCATCCCGATAGCCCAACCCAGAAAGTCCGCACCAGCCACAACGTCAACACTCTACACTGGTGCGCCTGAGCAACTGAAGTGCTTCTTTTGCTATGGTAGTCACACTGCCGGGAGATGCGTAACAGTGACGAATGTTGCCACCCGTAGACAGATCTTGAGGAAGCAAGGCAGGTGCTTCCGATGCCTCAAACGCAATCACATGGCAAAGACCTGTCCGAATGCATACTCTTGTGTCAAGTGTGGTGGGAGCCACAACGTAGCCATATGTAGTGGCGAGAGGCAGCAGAAGGCAGAGATGAACACGCAGGCTGTTGCTGCGAATGCTTCCGTGGAACCTCGCAGACAGGAATCGGTATTGCTACAGACCGCCAAGGCCGTGGCTTATAATGTCACACAGTCCGATCGCAGCGCCGCTATCCGACTGTTGATGGACGGCGGCAGCCAACGGACGTATGTTACGAGCGCTCTCCGTGATGCTTTGCAACTGCCGGTCCTGGATCAACGTAAGGTCATCATCAAGGCGTTCGGCCAGGACAACACAACGTCCCAAGTAGTTGATGTAGTTCAACTTGGAATCCGAGTCCCCGACGGCGAGGACATCACGGTACAAGCCTATGCTGTGCCGCTATTGTGTGACCCGATTACTGGCCAATCCATGCACACGTCAGTGGAGTGCTGTAGTCACCTCGATGGATTGGCGCTAGCCGACACCAGATATGACACAGGTACTCGATCAGTGGATCTGCTAATCGGCGCGGACCTCTACTGGACTATTGCAACGGGTAACATCATCCGAGGTGCCGACGGACCTGTGGCCATTGAGACAAAGCTAGGGTGGGTCCTATCCGGTCCAGCCACCGTACTTCCCACGCCAGAAGATACCAGTGCACTGGCCACGCACGTCTTCTCCGTCGAGGAAGAGACATCTGACGGACAGGAAATCAGCGCTAGTAGCATGCCCGAGGAGTGCCGTGCAGAGATGAGCAGAAGAGAAATGGAAGTCGTCGACAACTCAGCCGCCTTACTGACAACGACACATCCATCGTCAGACATCGGACTGGTCATCGACTGTACCCGATTCAGCAATTACAACCGACTTCTGAGAGTGACAGCTACAGTGCTGAAGGCCGTACAGCGCTTCAAGTCTAAACGGCAAGAGAGTGAGAGCGAACTCACGGCTGGAGATTTAGATCTCGCCGAGAAGCTGTGGATCAACCATCTTCAACTTGCGCTCCCGTCTCATCAGCACTACAAGTCTTGGCAGGCAGAATTCGGTCTGTTTGTGGACAACGGTCTCATTCGCTGCGGTGGCCGACTCCAGAACTCTGATTTGCCTCTGACAACCAAGCACGCGTACCTTCTGCCGAAGGATCACCACGTGACTGACCTGATTGTTAATGAGTGCCATGCCCGAGTGATGCATGGTGGGGTCAAGGCCACACTAACGGAGTTTCGCGCACGTTTCTGGCTCGTGAAGGGACGTCAACGGATACGTCAAATTATTCACAGCTGCAGAACTTGTCGTCGCCACGACTCGAAGCCATACACAGGACCCAAAGCACCTCCGCTACCAAGATTCCAGGTAGAGCAGACTACTCCATTCAGCTACGTGGAAGTTGACTATGCCGGACCACTACACATCCGGAGCGCCATTACTTGAAGAGACCAGTCCAGC